AGAATAGAAATTTTAGAATAGTGATTGATGTGAGAATGTGTGGTGAAAAAGTGATGAAAAGTTTTTGATTTGTGTGTAATATTATTTTATTTGGAGAATGTGTGGTTGAAATGAAGAATGAGAATGAGAATGGAAATGAGAATGAGAAATTAATGGGTGCCAAACGGGGGCTAAAAATATAATAATGGTATTCAACTAAGCAAAAGAAGAGGTAGTCCACAATTTTTTGAACTTGTGTCTAAATTTTAACCCCAAAAGTTTAAATAATAAAGTAAGCAAGCCATGTTAGAGTTTGTATTTGAAATTGACATGCCCAATGTCATAAATCAATTTTAGATGGTGGACATGAAAATTGGACTTACTATATGCCATGTTGATATGATGTTCCATTTTTTGAGAAAAAAGAAAAAGAAAAACGAAATTTCGTCCCTACATTTATTTGCAACGGTGTAATCCCCATCTACCATACACCAATTCATTCAAGTTTAGAAACTTTGAGGAGGATTGGGGTATCAAGGGGATTGTGGAGATATTGGGAATAGAGAGAACAAGACTATCGAGAGAATTAGATGGTTAAGTCGGAATCGTAAAGGACTGTCGATGATAATTTAAAAAAAAAAAAGTATTACTAAAAAGAGAATCATGAAATTTTGACAAACTGACACGTGGTTTAAATACGCTGGCATGTGATTTTTTCTTTGAAATATGCATACACATCTCAAATAGCAAAGCATGCGAAAATTACATGCCCTTTTTAATGTATATAAAAATTGGAAGATAAAGTTTATAGTGCTACAATTTACAAGGTTGAGGACATATTTGTTAAAATATGTTGAGGATCTATTTGAGCAATGCTGATAAATTGAGGGTATTAATGAAATTTCAGCATATCCTCTGTATTCTCTTCATCTATCTAAGCCCTAAATGCCCAAATCCCAAACCCTAAAACCTCTCTGTTAACCAACAAAAACACCAGAATTTGGAAAACCCAGAGATAATTCAATGGCGTTTCGCAATAAACTCAGTCCATTCGTACTCCAGCGCCA